GATCATAACAGCTACGACTCGATTAATTGGTTGAACATAAATGGTTTAATTGCTTATTTATGATCGAGTACATAGGATCATTGCATATAAAGCTAATACCTTTAATCCAGCCAAGAATTTATGACAAAAATGCTAAAAAAGATCATATTTGAGCTTCGGTGACTACTTGCGAACCAGAAAATTGGATCAAGGATAGATCTGTTACCAAGCTGTCATCCATTGTTTCACAGTGGAAACATATTTTTAATTAAATATTATTTTTGTTCAACAAATTATCGCTCGATCTAGCACATATAACTTACTAAATTGCTACGTGACATCGGCAAAAAGTCAATCCTACATTTATGGATAGCGTACGTTAAGTACTTCGAATTCATTGGTTGTGTATTGCGACTTTAAGACTATAGGATTTATAATACCTATAACATAAAAATAATATTTATATCCAGATCTGATCAACACACATAAGAATTTCGAAGATATCTGGAGTCATTTAAGTTTGGGAACCCAAACTAAGGTATTCTAATTTGCACTGCTTCATATATATACTATGAAGAAACTTTTGGGAACAAATAATAGCATATCCCATAGTCGATTCTTCGAAATTCGCAACCCAGGACACACCCAAAACACACCCGCAGCTGCAGCAATAAAATGTTTAAGCACATATGTATGCCATAAATATGTACATAAATATGCAGATACACACACCGAAAGAGTAGACGGGCATAAGCCCACTGACGAAGTGCCCAGACGCACTGAAAGTCGGATAGACAAAATTCAAAGGCGGACGCGCCCAACAATCCCCCAGCAATGGTGAAGGCAGGAAAACACGGACTGGCATCTATGCAGGCATGGTGAAGGACGGCCATTTCACAAGACGGGGAGGAGGGGACGAGAGCGGCTAAATAAAAGTTGATTACGAGTCTGCGTCGCTGGCTCGCTGCCAGCCATGCAGCCAGCCAGCTAGCAAACCTACCAGGCATAGCTTGCTGGTTATATGACTGGCATTGTCGTGAAGCAGATTAGTTTGCCATCGGGTTCAACTTTATTTGCAACACAAATTTTCATTCTAGTTGAATGTGCAGCCACAGCCGGTCATAGCCACAGCCATAGCCGAACCCACAGCCGTAGCCGTAGCCGTAGCCATAGCCATAGTCATAGTCGCAATCCAAAAACAGACAAAAGTAACACAGCTCACAGCTCATAGCTAACAGCTCTCAGCTCACGAAGCTGCTGCATTTTCCGCATGCAGACCGCGAAGCCAACCTAAAAATTGAACAACGCCCAAAATCTTGTTTTGCTGTGGAGTGAACTCACGATTTTTGGCGCGGTCGCGAAGCAGACCAGACCAACTACAAAAAACAAGAAAGGACATTAATCGTAGCGAAATACAAAGCGCGACGTTCATATCGAAGTTCATATACCCTTGAAAAGATACAAGCACATGTTTCTCAACGTCTTACTCTTTTTATGTATAGCCTATTTGAATGAACTGAACAGACAACTATTTACGGAAATAATAAATATAAATAATGTTGCCAAAAAAAAAAAAAAATGCAAGTATCAGGGCATATAAGAATCTAGAATCGAAGATATTGAGAATCTAGGGTATCTAGAGCATTGTGTGTTTCCATTTTAAGGTTTCTAGTCGGTATCTATCTATTTTAAAATAGCAACATTTTTAAACAGATTGAACTATCACATCTTTAGTTTATTTAGATTTTTTTTTTTGTTTTACGTTTAAAATGTTTAAAACCCAATAAAAAATAAATTTATATCTAACGAATAGTTTAGTATTCGCTTAAAACTTAAATAATATAAAAAAATTTAATCGAAATAGATGTCCTATAGTATCAGTTAAGACAAGACACCCGGACTTATGACTCTACTGCTAGCACTGATCAGCAATCCTAAATGGATTGATATCAGCTAAAACTTTAAGAATATACATGTTAAGGATCGACCGAAATGTTGATGTGCACAGTCCAGCATTCGCCTAACTACATCGTACCAAGCAGTTTAGCTGGGGATTTCCATTCATATGTATGTTAGGAGAAATTAAACAAATGGCACAAATATTGTTGCGCAACATTGTCGAGGTCTCAAAACCAGTAAACTCGAAAGAGTGGCAAGCAGGGACAGGAAAAGGCATTGCAAGTGGGAATGAGACAAAGACCGAGACTGAAACCGAAACGAGACTGAGACTGAGACTGCAACTGAGACTGGGACTGGGACTGACGCTTTACTTACAAATGAACACTTACACTCCTATGTATCTTATGCTGGAGCCTGTCTAATCCAAATGCGGGCAAAACATAATATTGCAACATACTTGGCCGTAAATTCAAACGACTCAGCGCCAAATGCGAGGGTTGCGAGGGTGGCCACAAGCTGGCTCGTTGGCTGGCTCGTTGGCTGGCTGGCCCGCCTCTCTTCAAGTCGACTTCATCCAAATCGACTGACATAACTGGTCATTCGCATGTAGCTAGCTGCAGCTAAGGACACGACAGTGCAGCGCACTGCAGCTGCACAAACTGGAAATTCTCAAATGCAACTAGCATACAAGCCAGACAGACGGTTGTTTCGACGGACAAAACCGGATTGACAATAAGTTCGAGTTCGCAGTTTGAGCAGTATTAAACAAGACGCAAATGGAGATGCAGCGCCTCTATATACTGTTGCCCATAACCCAAACTCTGAGTCAAAGCGTACTGCATAAGAGTTAAGGACCCATCCTCTATGCAATCCCAGATGTATTTATTTGTACTCTTTAGGAGACTTCACCCGGATTTAAATATTCTTAACTTAAATCTTTATTTGTGAACATCAATGTTAATCAAAAAGCGTAACAATTATTCACTTTCGTGAAGGTGTATAAAAAGGAATTTAGATATTACTGCACAGCAGTGCCATAAGTAAACTATCAGAATTTTGAGAGAGTATATTGTACAGTATTAATACCTAGCTTCAAAATTTTCCAGTTGGTCGGTTCCCGTTGTCTAATTTCGCCAAATTGCTTCTCGCTTATTTTTGATAGCGAAGTGAAAATGGTATGTTTCCATCTTAGCAAAATATTTCTCCACTATTGAAACTAGAGAATAATATGATAGATAAATAAAACATCAACACCAACTTTTAGAGGTATATGTAGACCTTTTCTTAATAAAACCAGAAATTGCTCAAAGAATGAATATTCTTCCTTTTGATCAACATTATGGCTATGGCCTTAGCTACAGCAGCTATTTTGTATTTCTGGAAGTGGAAAGTGTGAAGTTTGTTAAAATAAGCCGAAGCGTAGCTCGACTTGTAATACTCGTAAAAAAGGTTCACTCTAAAATACATTTAAGTACCGCTCGTAATTGTTACACATTATTTCACGTTAAGAAACTTGTCGGGCCTGAGCAGAGAAAGACGTGACCACTTAATGTGCTGTGCCGTTCGACTTAATGTCTCAGAATGCGTTTTTGTTTCGAATCGATACATTATCATCAACTATAGAGGAATTCAGTTATTTGTCAAGCAGTTCTGTAGAACTCGCTCATCCGACAGATATGTACAGATGCGAATTCGTTCGATCTGTATTTAGGCTGTGTATTATTTCTTTAATCACGTTAATCACAGCAAGCAAATTAACTTGCGAGCTCTTTTATGAAAGAAAATACATAGTATATATTTGTATGTTTTCAGTGTCGTAAACTTAGCTTATCAGAAAGTAAATTTTTGTTTTGAATTAAAGCAATAAAACTATTTAACTGTCTGGCTGGCAACCGTTCTCGAGGTTCTTGTTCCGCATGCTAGATGATCTATATCAGTACATATGCGGCACAGCGTACGGCATAACCTACTTATTCGAAAGTAGTTTAAGCCCGTTGCTCAAACTAGGTCGTAAGACGGTGTCAACTCCATGTTGAGTGAAATGTAATTGTCAAGGGCTACTATCTTATGGTTTTTTTTTAACCTTACGAAATGCCTTTACATCAATCTCTTGTCCTATAAGAAATAAAATAAGTGTTTTCATTTCACTTCTTTCCTTCTAAATCTACAAAACTTTAATTATTTTGCAACATAAATGACATGATATCAGATTTTAATCCTAAATTAAAATGAGTTTTGGAAAGTTTTAGGAGAAAATGAAAATCATTCATTAATTAACAGAGCGTAATAGTTTATATCACTAGCTTTTATGATATTCAAATGAAAGTATTTATAGAAGATCAATGTCATCCAAAAAATAAATGCCACGCAATTTTCATCGTATTTTATATTTTATCCATTACCAAAGAACCAATTTATGTATTCAAAATAAGGAAAGGCTGATTGGAAATAAAAGCGAAACTTTGAGAATATCTAAATATACTTATGCAAATACATATACTTAAAGTATAATTTTCTTTTGTGCAAAGAACGTACTTAAGGAATGTCTGCAGATTAAAACATTTCTGTTTGGTTCCATTATATTTTATCCGCGCAGTTAATGAACGTGATAAATTGCATGTATTTTAAGAAATATATCTTCGTCTTTCATTGCAGCAATGGCTTCCAGCATTAGCAAAAATTTCCGCAGAAAAAGTCACAGCCTAACACATGAGCCATATTGTGGTCTGAGAACCGCTGCAAGCAACACGATTTCAGATGCTAGCAAGCGAAGGCAAGAAGAATGTTACTATCATCAACCACCTACCTCCCAGCTTCACCTTCAGCCTCAGCCTCAGCCTCAGCCTCAGCAGCAACGTCAGTGGCGGCCAACTTTACAATTTGGCCCATGGCTGAGCGCAATGACCGCCTATCGATTGCTGACAATCAGCATCCTAATTGGAATTCTGTGTCTACATCACGTTCACGGAGTGGATCCCAAATTCGACCCCTCAACGCGGATGAGACTAGTTCTGGTGCCGGCTGACGCACAGGTCGGGTCTGTAATCTACAGATTGCGTGCAACCGACGAGGAGTTCGACTATCCATTGACCTTTGAGTTTATGGGTGATGTATCGTCGTCCACCTTCAAGGTGGAATCGCTTCCATGTACCAAGTACAACTCAGTCTGTCAAGCCAACGTTGTGCTGCAACGACGTCTTGAGTCGGGCCGCTTCTACGATTTTCAAGTCTCGGTTAGGGACACAAATGGTGGCATGGCTACGCAATTGTGTTCAATTACAGCAACCAACTTCAGTACACCGCATGACCTAATATTTCCACATAAGCCGGGCATCATCATGATACCTGAGGTGAGTGCGGATCAAAGATCGAAGTCTTTAAATTATTTTATAAACAGTTTTCCTAAGAATTCCAACTCATTAAATTAGGTACGAGCCCTTTACTAACATAAATACTAAATACTAACATTTACTCATTAATAGTTTATTATGCTTCTTAACTACTTATTTTTGATAGGATGCCAAAAGAGGTACAGAACTTGATTATGTAATTTCCAGAAAGAATCCACTTTTTCCAAAGCCAGTCTACCTCGAGTTGTGGGTGAGTTGTATTGGGAGCTCATGAAAATAAATATTAAATTTCTAATCTTTAGGGTTCGCCCTTATTTGCCATAAGACAAAAGATTATATCAGCTGAGACAACGGAAGGAACCGTTTTCCTCTTGGGTCCCTTAGACTTCGAGAAGCAAGCCATGTACCACTTAACAATTCTTGCCAATGTACGTAATTTTAAGGGTATACGATGCATAACTCTAATTTCTATTCCTACCTAGGATGCTTATGCGGAGCCTGGACAAGATGGACGGAATATTGCTGGTATTGAAATCGTTATTATCGTCCAAGATGTACAAGATCAGCCGCCTGTGTTTACTATAGCTCCTCCAGTTACAAAACTGCAATCCGGCATTCTTCCAGGCGATAAGGTAATTTAGAGATATATTACATATCAACTAGAAAATATGAATTTTGCCTAATACTCGAATCCTAGATATTGCAGGTCCATGCGGAAGACGGGGACAAGGGAAACCCTCGGGAAGTGCGATATGGCCTAGTTTCTGAAAATAATCCATTTACTTCATTTTTTGACATCAACGATACAAGTGGTAAGTCGAATTCATATATATTCCCACTATTACTTATTGAGAGAGTAACTACTCTTTAGGTTAGATATAAATATTCTATATACTTTATATTAATATATATATAATCTGAGAATGGATTCGTCTGATGGATTTGATTCATGTATATAAATATTTATGCGAGCCTATTAAATTCATTGTGAGAAGCCTCGAAATGTTTTGAGTAGTTTGAGTACAGACTTTATACATGGTGATGATGATAAATACATGATGTAAAGGCTAACCCCATTAAACAGTCTCAGCTTTTTTGCTAGCTATAAGATGAAATAGAAACAAAAAATCAAAGTTGTTCCCCTTTGAACAGATTCTTATGCGCAGAATATAGTATAAAAAGGAGAAACAATGACATCAAAAAGATATTAGCATAACCACCAGCAATCGAACGGGCCAACTTCAATCCGGTCCATCGCTTGACTCGTTAGATGGCAAAGCCATCTTCAATATGCGCTGTGACCAAGTTCTGGAGCTGCAATTTAGCTCTAGGCCCCGCAACGAGTTTGCCTTCGCCATCGTCGCCGTCGCCCTCACCCGCGCCCTGACTCTCACCCTTCCCGCCGTCGCAGTCGCGTCACAATGATTGCGGTTAAGCTTCCTTGTTTCGTGCTTCTCTGGTTCATTGCCAGTTTGACGGTAATGACTCTGGCCCAGGCAGTGGAACCTCTTCAGTCGGCTCTCTAGACGGCGGCCTGATATTGCACTGCCGGCAGACGAGGCCCCAAAACACGTCGTGCCTTGGCCCCACTGCATTTCTGTGCATGTGTGCACTTATAAATTTCGTCTGCAGTCCTCGCCCAGCCGCTTTTTAGCGAAAATATGCAATATTCTCGTTGAGTTCTTGAGTATTTCAGCAATTTCATAATTGATATTTCTTGCTTATAAATATAAATTCAGTAGGATTAGCGTAAACCAAGAAACCTGGTCACATTTTTGCAAATCATCTTTACCATAAATTGTATTTATATTTAGGTTCGTCATTCCTTCGGACAGAACAAACTGATATAATTTCCTCACTTCGCGAATGAGTGTAAAAATTAACATTATCGTTGGGTTATTGTATCGACCAGTCAATTATCAAGAGAGCAGAAGCTTCTTCGCAGAGAAAAAACTGTTCCCAGGGCTGTCAATTGAGTTATGCTTGTTGTGAAAAACAGTGGACTTCAATAAATGCTCTATAGAAAAAACAGTATTCCCATTTCCGCAGAACAGACACATGAGCTAGAGGCACAGCGCTTTTTTGCAACTACATGCAGCTAATTGAAGGTGGAATCTCCGACCTCATTATGCCTATCTTCTACTCATCAATTCTGTCTGCCGCACGAAGGAAATTTGTTATTTTTTGTTCACATCTAGATTCTAGAACCAATTCCCTAGCAGAATAATTCTTGATCAGGGCGACAAGCTGAGTCGATTTGGCCCTGTCCGTCTGTCTGTCCGTATGTATGAACGCGTCGTTCTCAGAAGATATAAGAGCTAATTATGTTCTAAAAGTTTAATTACGATCGTACGTCTAGAAATTAAATTATTCAACAAATAAGTTCTCATAATAT